GGAAGCAGCTGTGTCTGCCACAGCTGCAAAAGCAGGAGAAGCGGCTGTAAAAGCGGAGGAAAACATGGAGGAAACGGTAAAGGTGGGGGAAACAGCAGACAAGCTCCCCGCTGCTGTGAAGGAAGATGTGGAAAAGAAGACAGAGGAGGCGACCTCATAGGGGACAATTCATCCTTCACAACAAAAAAAGAAAAGAAATCACACTACACACATTCAAAACACTACACAAAGCACAGCCTTATCAATGTTAAAACGAATCGAAAGCCACTAATGATTTTTTTTTTATGTTTCAAACACAGAACTTTGAAATAAAGCAATATTGGGAAAAGTTAAAACACTACAAGACCAGCTCTAAAAAAATAACAAGATATTCCTTTTTATAAGATAATAACTGTCAGTTTATTGCTTTGTACTACTAGTTACCACTATGTTCTTATGTACAGCATGTGCATCCCACTATATAGCACATTTACCTCATTATGATAATATACTATGATAGCATGCAGACGTACGCTATCCCGTGCATGCCGTGTCCCTGTGAAAACTTTGCTGCACACGTGACCAACGCACCACTGCCAACGAGACCTTTAGCTTAAACCCAAACCTGTGCTTCCTGCACAGTTGTGCCATGCAGTCCTTTGGGTCCTTGGTAAAACAGAAGTAAATTACATCTTAAAGGAATAGTTTGACATTTTAGGAAATATGCTTTTGAGAGTAATAGCCAAAAATTCCTATACGTTAGATAGCTTTGATTTGGCTAAAAATAACAACACGAAACATCTGCCAGCATCCCTAAAGATAAGAAATAACATTTTACAACAACTTTTTTGTTTAATAAGTTGTTCGCATCTTTTTAGAACAAAATACATTGATCATATCTGTTATTTAGTGCTAAAAGAGGGTAGCTGTTTTCCTCTTTAACTATAATTGATTTTCCATACAGACCCTAGGGTGCTATTTTTCTTCTCTTCCAACTCTTTAAAGTGTATTTCTGAATGTGTCAAAGTGTTCCTGCATTAGGTGCATGAAAATCTGACAGTACATTTTTACTAACATTCTCGTGCTATATTTCTGATTGAGCATGACAATAAACAGAAGTGTTTTGCTGATGCTTTGCATTACTTCAGCTTGTCTTAACTGTGGTATTGGCCTCCTTTAAACCTTCTTCTTCTTCTTCTTCTTCTTTCTCTTTCAAGTCTGCTTCACGGGCTCACTGTGCTGCAAAAGTTAACTTCATCTGATGTCTGCAGCGTATTCTCGTCACTTTTAGTCTGCCATAAATTAGGAACTGGAAGATCAGGTGTGACCTTTGGCTAAATAATTAAGGTTCAGGGTTGGAATCCACACCAAAGGGCCATTAAGTGGCCAAAGGGGAGCCCAGATGAGCCTCATATGAGTGGGCTGGTCACTAGAGGGGCAGGTCAGGAAAGACGCTCTTGTAACCTAAGTTGAAGAGAAGAACATGATAACTAAAAGCCAAGAAGTCAAGCAGCCTTAACAGGTGTCACTTTTTAAAAATTAGTGCCTGTATTATGTGTATTTGAGACAGCAGGTCCTGCCTATTTAACCCTTAGGTGTTGGGCGGTTCATTATCAGGAGTGATCACTGGCAGCACAGGACAGAGGAGGAGTGACAAGCAGAAACTTGACCTCTGTTTTGGAGGCTTTCCTTATAGTTGTTCATCGTTGTGGGTGTTTTTGTTTGTTTGTTTGTTTTGTTTTGTTTTGGGGTTGTTGTTTTTTTGCTGGTTTAGGCACCGTTTGTTCATCCCTGTGTGTTTGTCTGTCAGTCACACTCTCATTCTGTTTAAAGACCCCGTTTGACCTGCAACTGGATCCTTGGGCATTAGGCATTGGGAAACTACTGGATTAGGCATTTGATGGGTAACACACCCTGGGACACAAACAATTACATGAAAGTAATCCCGGGCTCCAGTGAACCTGCCTATCAGACGAGGTGGTAGTGTCAAAGGTATCATTATCAGAGGTTGTGCTTTTTTTTTCTTTTTTTTTTAAGCAAAAAAAAAAAAAAGAAGAAGAAAAAAAGAATACTGAGCCATCAATGTGTGAGCTTCTGCAAAAGGCTAATAATGAGATGTTGCATGCTTTTGGAAACTTATTACCATTTTATTACCATTATTGTGGCCATTATTTAAGTTCTACATGGCCTCTTTATAATTAACTATTAAGCCTATACATAACTCTTATCTGGACCACTATGGAGATAAACTTGAAAGTGTACTTCTTTGTCACATTATATGCAATTTGTTAATTACAATTTAATGATTTGCAAATTGTTTCATCATCAATAATGCACCCATGAAAACAAAAAGGTTTGTGTTGCAGGCCTGCTGTGTTGCAGGTCTGTGAGACCAGCTGCAAAGTGCTTCAGGCACACACATTTTGGGCAGCGGACCAAATGTGTACCTTATGTACTGTTAGAGCACCTGGCACCGCAAACCGCTCAACAGCAACACGGGCAAGACAAATAAGCTTTCAGTCATGTGACCGCCATGGCTCACTGCGACACTCCCATTGTAAATAACCTCATTTACACACTCTGCTCAGACTTTATACTCACAGTATGCTACGTTTCCCGCCACAGTTATTATTAACACACTTACTGAACAATCGTGGCTTTTTACACTACGTTATGATTTCTTTTAATAAAATACGTATAATTTTTATACTGCAAATACATTCTGGTACTTCCTATGACTAATAGAACCATCATCTCTTAAATTGCTGTAGTCAGCTTCCTGTTTAACTTGCACTAACAGCAGATGCCGTGTTTTTGAAGTGAGCATACCTGGGTTGCACATCATCTAACAAAGGTAATATTTGAATCTCTGCGATGATGACCTATGAGAGCTGCAGCCTCTTTCAGAGAGCTTAAACTGTTTGCAATGGCAGTGTTATTATTCTGTCCCTTAGTGCAAACCCCACCCAGCTTTAACTCATGTAGATTAAAAACATGCTGGAACTGAGCACAGCAGATTTGCAGTGGGGATTGTTTGCCGTCGTGTTTTCGTTGCTACACAATGAATCTCTTTCATTCTGAGATACAGAAGATGAAGATAACAGCATGCGTTAAGAATCTCCAAAGTGATACACGTACGAGTGTACGAACGTGTGAGTCATAATGTTTGTGATTACGGGGCCGTTCCCAGGGAACTGTGCAGGCTTTTATCACTGTGCATTAATGCAGTCCTGCCAAGTACAGCAGTTGGACTTATTCAGGTCCACTGACCTGTACAGTAAACTTTATTATGCTGATTTTTTAACTTCATATGTAACGCTGTATCGTTTTGGATAATTTTATGTAAAGTGTAATGGCTAACATTGAATAAACTGTGACAATAACAAGTTTTTGTAGATTGTTCAATTAAAAATCCTGGTGTTGGTGTTAAGGTTTTTACAAATCAGGATGGAAAATACCTGAAAGTCAGTGACGTAGAAGCTCATCTGACTGATGATGCACCACAACTTACAGGTTAACATAATCTGTGAAGTAAAGAAAGTAAAAACATCACTGCATGGGTGTTTTGCACAAGTGTGGCCATGAGATTGAGCACAATTTGGATGAAGATCCATAAAGTACAAGAAGCTGAAATTCTGTTGAATAGTTAAAGGGTAACATGAGCTAAAAATCTATCTATCCATTTTCTATCATTTAATGGTAGTCGTCAGTAAAAGTATTCTAATACAACCTCAGATGAAACGCAGCACATGACAGATTACACAGTTTCATCATTTATATAAAAGAAATTAAGCCAAAATGCAGAATCAGTGAGAAAAACTAAATACATCCTTACTGCTTCCAAAGAAATTAAGAAGGAAAGTGTTGGCAGAGTGCCATGAAGGAAAGACATGAGCAATGATCTTAAAGAAGCATTTGTTGCTGCCCTTCAATCTCAGAAGGCGGTACTTTGCCATTCCCAAACAGGTTTTTGTCCATCATTCTACAGTGAGAAAGATAGGTGGAAAGACAGTTGTCAATTGTTCCAGGAATGGGCAGCCCAGCAAATTCACCCAAAGGACAGACCATGCAACGCTTAGAGACTCTGCAAAACACCCAAGAGCTGCACTGGAGACTCTACAGGTTTCAGTTAGCATGTTAAATGTTAGAAATTAGAAAAGACTAAAAAAAGTGTGGCGTTTTGGAAGAGTTTCCAAGAAAAAACAGTTTTAAAATGAACATTGCAGCAGAGCTTAGATTTGCAAAATTGCATCTGAACAAATCCCAAGGCTTCCGAAAAAGCCTTGGACAGACGAGACCAAAATGGAGATGTTTAGCCATGAAGCACACCTCAAATCAACTCTCCTGCACGGTGGTGGAGGGGTGATGATTTAGGCTTGTTTGGCAGGTGCAGGACCTGGGCAATTTGCAGTCATTAATTTCATCATGAACATGAACACTAGAGTGAAATGTGAGGCCATCTGTCTGACGGCAAAAGCTTAACCCAAACTGGGTCATTCAACAAGCACAGCAGCAAATCTACAACAGAATGGCTGAAAAAGAAAAGAATGAAGATTCTGCAATGGACAGATCAAAGTCCCAACCTCAAACTGATTGAAATGTTGTGGCAGGACCTTAAAAGAGCCGTGTGTAAATGAATGCTGGCAAACCTCAATGAACCGAAGCAACGCTGACAAGAAGAAAAATTCCTCTGATAAAGTTATAAAGAAAACGAGTGCTTCAAGTTATTGCTGCTAAAGGCAGGTTATATAAGCTAATGAATCATAGGGTGTACTTAATTTTTTACACACTGCCTCTGCATTTTGATTTAGTCTTAAATATATTACAGTGTAATATATCACACGCTGTTCATCTGAGGCTGTTTTTACATAAATTCCTTTTCATGACTGTATGCATATGTGATGAAGAGAGGAGGGGAGTTGAACACCTGCGCAGAGAGAGATAGATGTAAAGGAAACTGAAGTAGTATACGTAAGTGGGTGAAGGAGTTGGGGGTTGGGGGGGTGGAGGAGGAGGAGGGAGAGGTACAGGTGATATTTAAGCCACTGGCAAACTCTCTCCCCATCCATCTCCGCCTTGGCTCTGTCCCCTGCACCTCTTCAAAGACAAAGGAGGCCCTCCATCAGTACTCAGGTAAGACGGATAGCTTGGATTTTGGACTTTCTCCTCTGTATCCGATGAAAGATTCTTTGTAAAGTGTTTTAGCAGCTGCACAGCCGAAGTAAATACTCAAATGCCGTTAGTGCAGAACGGATAGTGGGCACTCAGCAGCAGACTTGGAAAACAAACTGCGTGAGTCAGTTGGTGATTTTTTTTTTTGTCTGGACAAAGCACTGCTGGCTTTCCACTGATGTGCAAGCTTTGAGAGGAGCATGACAGGAAATTTGCACATCAGTGAAATATGGAAACAAGCGAAGCCAGTAGGGATTTGTGGCAGAGCAGCAGAGCACTGGTAGGAAAGATAATATACTGAACATACTGGACATACCAAATCTTTTAGTCTCAGCATGTCTTGTTCCATTAAGCTGATTATCTTCTTTTTTTTAAACTCAAGATATTTAATGCCATGCATCACTCGATACGGATATTGCTTCATCGTTAAGATAACTTCATACATATGCATTATTACTATACTCACTCCTGTGTCACTGATAGCATTTCCATCTCCATGGCTTCCTTTTGTATTGTGCCAGTCAGTGAGACAGTGACCCCTATAGATTTTCCAGTGAGCCAGCTTTGGTGTCCACTGGCCTCGTCTTTTGTCTGTGCTGCCTGCAGCTCTGACCTCTCTGGTACAATGCTCTGCAGCATGACGAGAGGCAATAACTGGTGACTGACATTAACATCCCTGTCTCCTTATGTCAGAGATGATAATTAATAAATCATGCACAGGGGAGCATGGCAGACTGATTGTGCCCTTTGGTGTTACGTGTGGTAAGGATTAGCATCAGCACAGCTCTGCACACTGTTTTCCAGTTAATAGGTCCCTGAACTTTAAACTTTGGGCCAAAAGCTGAATGCATCTTGGCAAGAGTGGAATTGAAGTCCCTCATCTGTATGCACTAGTTAGTGTATATGCTGGCAACTCAGGTTACTTGCCCCCTTAGTTTCTAAATGTCGTTACCAGGCAAGTGTTATGTTTCACTTGTGGTTTCCATTTGAATGATAAGACTTGTTACAGGATCAGCAAATAGAGAGATGTGGTTTACATCGAAACCATTCATTGCTGATGCCGTGGAGTTAATTGGTACATGCATTACCAATTCAGCTTACAACACCGATAACCCAAGGATCAAAGAACAATGAAGCGTGTGCTTTTTTTTTTGTTGTTGTTGTTGTTGTTGTTTTTGGGGTTTGTGTTTTTGGAAAACCCTTCACACTCATGCTTCATTGACAGTGACTTATCTGTGTCTGTGTGTGCACAGTCTCTCCACGAGTCCAGCACAAGAAGCTCCACGATGCCGGACACAATGTGTGTAAGATTGTTCAAAAAAAAGCTTTCCCAAAGCTGTCCTGCATCTTTTCACCCAAACCTCTGAAATGTAAAACCTACTAAGGTTGCACACACACACATACAGTGACCTTAGTAGACTCTGCAATGCATGCAGAGCATTATTAAACCCAATGCTTAGAAATAGGGAAAAACCTCTCTGCTTTGCTTTGCTTCCTTCTATCTATCCATCCATGAACTATCACTCTTATGGAGGTGGCTTCACCCTTGACTGCTATGTGACCGCACATGCAGCTGGGGCTGGAGCGGGCATTATGTGGCAGAGTCTGACCTCTTTACTTGAATCCCCCTTCCAGCATGTCCAAGGAGCCCAGTTCCAACCTGGAGAGTGCCATGCAGATGCTCATAAAGACCTTCCACAAGTATTCGGGGAAGGAAGGCGACAAGTACACTCTGAGCCGGGGCGAACTGAAGGAGCTGCTACTAGAGGAGCTGGGGAGTTATTTAGGGGTAATTATGTGGTTTGCACACTAACACACTAATACAGTTTACAAATATGCATGATGCAAGTAAAGATATTGGCTCATCTCCTCAGACGCACAAGAACAAACAAGCCTGTGCAGTTATGTATGCCCACAGACGCACGTGCATGACACCTAACACATTCTTAAGCCTGTCTCTCTCTCTGTTCCACACTGACAGAGCTCCAAAGATAATGAAGCAGTTGAGAAGGTGATGAACGACTTGGACGCCAACAACGACGGGGAGGTGGACTTCACCGAGTTCATCATTCTGATGGGCGCCCTCACAGTCGCCTGCAACGACTTCTTCCTGGAGTTCAAAACAGACGACAAACCCAAAGACGGCGAGTCAGCGCAGAAGAAAGATTGAAACACTGCAAAAGAAGGAGGGGGGGTGGGGGGGCGAGAAAAGTGAGATGGAGAGGGCGTAAAAGAACTGTAAATCAGCAGAGGAGATAGAGGACAGAAGTGCAATGGCTTCTCTTTTTTTTAATCTTATGCAATATGTAAACACTACAGCTACACACGAGGGAAGAGGTCCAGCGCTTTAGTTTATGGTTTCACAGAACACGGAGCATTCAGGAGGAGTAGTGTTTTTCCTTCTGCAACTGTTTCTCATACCACAGCTTATCCGGAGCTAGTTGCACTGTTCTCAGAGCAGTGGCTAGTTTTATATACACGACAGGGTTAATTTCAGCTTCTTCTAGCTCAGATTCAGCAGTCACTTAGGTTTAGTAAGGCACGGGAAAGACAGGAAGTTTGGGGATGTTTGAGAATGTCTTGCACGTGAATAACTTGACAACATATATTTAGTCACAGAATAAGTTACAGATTATACCAGATTGTACTCAGTCTTGAAAATATTTATGATTTGTCCCCTCTCTTTTGCTTTTGTAATCTTTTCAAAATATTAAACGTGGCATTTAACCAAATATTAAGCGTGGTGTTTGCAGTGTCACGTACTTGAAAATATAAGCGGACTCTTACAATGCAGAAGTACAAATCTATAATTTGTCACACACGTGTGGCAGCTGGAAGTCGAGTTGAATATCAGCAAACTGTGAGGCTGTGGTTGAGTGTAAGCACTGACATTTTGTGAGTACTGCTTGTCTGTGTGTGTGTGTGTGTGTTTATGCATGTCTGTGTGTATCTGTATATTGGGGATTCCCACAGAGTAAACTGCTCTGGCTCACACATCCTGCCAACAATATCCTGCAAGTCTTGTTCCACTAGATATAAGCTGACCCAGATGTTTGACTTGGAAGTGCAAAGAAAACTTCTTCAAAAGAGGAAGACAGAGGGAGGAGAGAAAGAAAAAGAGCGAGTGTGAGGCAAAATAATGAGTGCTTTTGTGCATATGCCTGTGTGTGTGTGTAAATGAAAAGAGGGACAGCAAAGCCAGAGAATGGATCCAATTTATGAAATACATCAGTCAAGTATGTAAGTTGGAAAGTGGTGGTATAATCACAGAGGAATGCTCAAGCTGCTGTGACTGTGAGCACACTAACTGTCCCTCTCACACGCACGCACACATAGATCAGTAAATCAACACGTCCTCTTCCACCTCATTGGCTTTTGTAGCTGCTCGTCACTTTTAAAATATGGCTGGAGAGGGAACACAAAGCAGATGAATTACATTAGATCCTCTCCTTTCAAACCACTGAGGGATTTCACTTGGAGGTGTAATTGTGCTTGGACACTGATGAGCTTAACTACCTGCTCTTCTTACCTTCAGCAATATTAAGAAACTGATTCCAGGTCAGCAGTGCGTCAGCGGGCGTGGCGTAAGCGATCCGCTTTCATTCCTCTGCCCTCTGTGTTTTCCAGAGGTGTCCTCTGGTTGGTCGGTTTGAATATTTGAGCTCGAGGTGCGCAGCCCGCAGACAGGTAATGATTTCAAAACAACGCGTGTAAATGTTAACCCTGTTTTGGCCCGAGGCAAAGCAAACGACCTTTTATGGCTGTTAACGGTCTTGTTTACTGCATTTCTTGTTTCATTCCAGAGCAATGATTAGTTTCAACGACTTGCCGTGAGGAAAGTAAATAAGAGAAAAGTACAACACACACACGGATCTAGCAGTCAAGGGGGAAAAAAGGAAAAAAAAATATACAGATCATAACAGTGGACCTAATTCTGCAGAATAAAATTTGTAATTCTAGTAATATTTTCCCTCTATGCTGCACATTTCAAGGCTTGGCTTCCCAGCTGTCTAACTGTCTTAGACTAGAAACTGTTTTTAGTGAAGATCTTCACTGAATTCTTCCTTTTTTGCTTTGAGCAATTGGGTTATTCAGTGTCAGGGAAACTGCCTGTAAATGTTTATAGTCACTTCAAATAAAAAAACTCTAAAACTCCTTCAGCTAGGAAGGGTAGAAAGATAAAGATGTTGAGGGTGAGAGCAACAAGATGCAGGAAAGCCACAATTCACATGTGAAAAACAGGAATTTAGTTTGATTTGTTTGTCACCTGAATCTAGTGAAGCAAACTGGTTTGTCAGCTCTGCTTGCCTTTCTGTACAAGTCTGAGATACCAAGTCAAGTCAATCTGCAACACACATGGAGGGCACACGCCATATATTTTACTTGGGTAAAAGTGCCAAAGGTTTAGCTGCTTTGGTGTTAATAAAATTAACACCAAGTGTGCTGGAGTGGCAACAACGACACAACCTTCAAAACAGGCCGCTGACATTTTTTTCCATGCTCGTCTTTTCCGACTGTTTTTCACTTTTTTGCATTTGACTAGGGTCAGAGTCATGAAGTGAAAATCCAAGTCCCCCAACATGGAACATCAATAAGTGCTATTTCCAGAAGGTTTGCTGCATCTCCCATCAAAGTCTCAAGAGGAAGAAGGAGATTCCAGGAGATAGGCAGTTACACTAGGAGAGCTGGACAGGGTTGTAGAAGGTCTTTAATCCATCACCAAGACCGGTATCTGGTCCTTTCTGCAAAGAAGAACAGGATGAGCTACAAAATGACTTCCAACAGGCCACTGGTGTGAATGTCTCTGATCAAACACTCAGAAACAGACTTTGCCTCAGGCCCGATGTCCACTAGTGGAGCTGATCGGAATTTGCCATTGAATACCAGAATTGGTGCTTCAACCACTGGCACCCTGTACTTTTCACTGGTGAGAGCAGGTTCGCTATGAGCACATGTGACAGACAGGAAAGGGTCTGCCTGTAAGATTGTGCAGCATGACCAGTTTGGTGGTGGGTCAGTGATGGTCTGGGGAGGCATATTCATGGAAAGACACACAGACCTGCCATAGGTATCAGGATGAAACCCTTGAACACACCGTCAGATACTACACTGGTGCAGTGGGTCCTGGGTTCCTCCTGGTGTACAACAATGCCTCGTGTGGGAGAGCATGCAGGCAGTTCTTAAAGGATAAAGGAATTGATACCATTAACTGCCCGCCACATTCACCTAACCTAAATCCACTAGAACAGCTCTGGGACGTTGTGTCTCGGTCCATCCAATTCCACCAGGTTGCACCTCAGACTGTCCAGGAACTTCCCCAGGAAACCATCTGTTCTGTCATTGGTAGCATGCATCATTGTCAGCCATTCATAAAAGCAATAAAATTTCAGCAAAATGTACTAGCCTGCATCATTTTCAATTTGATTTTCCTGGTGTCTTTGAATTCAGGCCTCTGTACGTTGATAATTATCATTTCCATCAAACGATAGGGCATCCTTTCACTCCTAACCCATCATTGAGTCCATGTCACTATAGATATCCAGCATTTTTTTCCTACTGTGATTTGTCTTTTTAAAGTTTTTCTTTAATTTTTTGAGCAGTGTACTACTAAAGTGTAAAAGTCTTAGGAGAACAACATGCATCACATAAAAAGTACTTTTCCTAACTCTGCAATTCTGTCTTATACGTATATTGAGAGCAGTCCTGGGTTTGTCCAGTGAATTGTAGGCTTGTAGCTGAGGTTTATCAGCTTTGAATCAGGGTGAGACAGACATGCTGCATGAGTTATGCTTCAGAGCAGTTACTTAATTCTCAGTCAAATGACCTTTTCAACCACACGGGGATGAACAACAGTGCGGAGACATCCTGCAAACAGTGTCTAAGAGCACGCCTGACCTCGTGAGGTGAGCTGATTTAAACTTAAAGACAACAGTCTCTGCATGGCAGGTGCATCCTGTGTGAGGAGAGGAGACGAGCATTACAAAGCCAGGCCATGTCACTGGCACAGAGCCTGAAGCATCTGATAAGGACCTGCAGGAACACTTCGGTTACCAACAGAGCAGGTCAAGCGACACCCAGATGTCAAGCCACCCTGTCCATCAGGCAGTGAATCCTGAAGCGATCATGTCAGGCTGTCATGCAAGCCTGAGAGGGGCTCAACGATTGCATGACAGCCCTGACGGCACTGATGTGAGAGCAAACTAAAATTAGTCATTCGAGTATACAGTAGCATGGGTGGCTCCAGGTCTATATCATTTGACGATTCATTCTTTTCCAGGTGTATCTCCCTCCCTCTCGGGTAGAATTTGAGAAGGCCTGCTTTCCTCCGCTTCATGAAATCCATCTTGATAGAAGACCGCAGGGAGACCTTATGGGTGCAGCACAGTGCCAGAAAGAAGTCAGCAAGCAAGTGGATTACATTGATAAAGAGCAGGCTTTGTTAGTGAAAAGGGCATTACCTCAACTTCTGAGGTGCTTTTTGTTTCTTTTAATTGAACTTCAGGAATTTTTTATGCTTTTGCATGACCATTTAAATTCCAATTCTTACTCATAAAAATTCTGAAATAATCTTTAAAAGTGTAATACAAACCACCAACTTGACCACGCACACACAAAGAGCACTTTAGAGTTAAAGCTAAGAAGATCAAGATGGAGACTGATGTGACTAAGTTGAGGTACAAAGTTTAAAAACACTTTACTAAATCTTATAAGAAAGATTAAAAAAATAATATTGCTCACAGGGATCATTTTTCTGCAGATTGACATCTTTTACTTTTGTTTCTTTCAGTATGTTTTGTTGATAAAGCCTCTATTTCTATACTCTTGCATTTATTTCAGAATTTGAAATATTGGTATTTTATTTAATTAAGTAATCTCTGTGTGGTTTTTGCGAACATTAAAAAAAAAAATTTGTAGCCAAGCAGGTTAAAAAAAAAAGTGCTACGTAAGTCACCCGACACCGATGAACTGCTTAAACAGGTAACGGCAAACAAATATCCATGACGTGACAGCACGCGTGAGAAGGCTGAAAGTCATCTCCATATTAGGACTAATGAAACCCAACTTGTGGCTCTCCTTAATGAGCTTAAGTACAAACTCTTGGCATCACACACAGGCGAACGGTGACGGTGTCCTCCGTGAGAGTCAAGGAGACAACCTCAAATAACACAGACAGGGTGAAGAAGGTAAAGGAGAGGGGCGAATGATACGTAAGAAAAGTAGGGAATGAGAGAGTGATGGTGTCAATTGCTCCTGTTTTTCCCCCCTTCACATTAAGTGTCCTTGACATGGCTGTAATGATACTACTCTACCTCTTTGTCTGTTTTTAGCACTGCATTTATCTTAGATCTACACACGGCACATGCCTTGTGTTCGTTGTAGGCACATCAGCCATTTGTTCTTAACATGATACTCACCTGAACTCCCCACTGGACTTTTGCCCTTAACCTGGAATATTATTCTGTCTCCTCATTAGCAGCACAGAGTACTAAACCTCCAGGTAAATTATCAAACTGCTAAAACCACAATCAATCTCTCACATTTAAAGATTCATTGTGCTCAAAAATGCCCTCATTCAGTCACTCGGCTCCTGTAGGATGTTGGGACACTTTGATCTCTCTCTGTCTTTCATCACTGACACAAATACCCTCACATTCTGCTGTTTATGTTGCTGATTTATTGGGATCAGAGACAGGCTCACAGGGGATATCCAGCATTGAGATTCAGGACCTTTTATTATGATCTGCTCTACAGTGTTCACACAATAGGTTTTCATATATCAAAAGAGACTAATAAAAAAAAAAGAATGAAATCTATAGCAGGTGTGTCTCCTCAGATTACTACTGTTTGAAATGTACTCTCATAACATCTTTGAAGAGACATGTTAATGGCAGACCTCCAAAAAATGTATAATAAAGCCAAATGTAACCTTTGGAAGGATTTTCTTGTCATCTTACAGCTTAGCAGGAGACTGTGCTGTAGATCAAAGTGGTCCAAGAATGAATTCCAGCATTTAAGAGTAAAGACACAATGCCAAATATTTTAGATTTAGAACGCAAGAAGAAACACACATTAAGACTTCAGTGAATATAATATAGTCACCAGTTTGCACTTCTGCCGTTTAGCACCAGAGGGCATTACACCTGAGGGATAGCAGCATTAGAAACAAGGGAACGTTAAACAGAGGCGAGACTGGCATTTCTTTCATGCACTTTTACTGTAGGAGCCCTGTAATTAAATGGAATTTCACTTCTTTTATTTAAAATTACTATGTAACTATATTTAACTACAAATACTTAAAAGGTAGGCACACTAAAATAGGGAGTAACAAGTCAGGTTTTTATAGGAAACTAAGATATATAAAAATACTATAAGTAAATTAAAATACTGTGCAAGTGATTGTAAGTGTAATTTCATGGTAATTTTACAGAAAAACAAAACAATATTTCCCCCATATTTTTTAGAAGGTCATAATATGGAGTGGAATAACCTTGGCGTTTTACATCTTTATCTTTCTTTTTCTTTTCTTTGTTTGCATCTTTTTTGAATATTCCTTATGTTGACGTGTATTGTGGATGTTCCATTATTTAAATGTCCTGTTATTTTACCAATAAAAATGTGATAAAGACTCTTCTTGCTTACAATCTTACAAGAAAACATGATTGGCACATCTTGCAGATATATGTGACCTAATTGTGGAGCCAAGCAGTGGCGGATCTACAAAATTTTACATAGGGGGGCAAAGGAGGGGCGAGAGGTTGAGGCAGGGTGGCACATACCTCTTCTGAAGTAGTGAAAATCCCATATATGTTAATGGAGTCAACAACATATAAACAAAAACACTTTAAAACAATTTATTGTATCATTATCTCTTCTAAGAAAACAAAGACAATTTTAGGTGGGTAATTTTAGACAATTAGTTTTTACAAGTATTTTAAAGACATAAAAGGAGGGCAAGGCTCTACAGCTTGGGGGCAGTTGCCCCACCCTCTGTATATCCGCCCCTGAAGCCAAGTCTAACCTATTTTTTTGTTTGTTTTTTTCACAATCACTGTTCAACAGTAATTTTCAAAAGAAGTGTACAGAAAATGGGAGGATCTTTATTGTGTATAACACCTTAAAATCACGTAAGGGTTAGGTTACAGTATTATTGTTTATTTCCTGTTAAAATCTGACTTGTTTCCCACATATTCTAGTGTACCTAACTTTAAGAATTTGTAGATATGTATAATTACATTGTAACTTCTAATAAAATACATTGAAATTCTGTTCATTTATTGGGCAATTACGCCATCAGTCGTGGGTCATATTAACAAATTTTATCTAAAGTTTTCTTACCACAAATCACAGTAATATGCAGAACTCCTTTATACGTGCTCCCACAAAAGTCTCATTAAGCTGGGCCCAGACATTAAAATTCAGCCTCAGCTCTAACTATTGTAAAGCTTTCATGTCTTCAAGCACATTGCACCAGGGTGAATCACCAACTCTTCACAGTGCAGATAATACAGCAGAAACAACACCCTCATTCACAGTAACACAGTGGAAATCTTCGAGGCACCGTGGTTACAGATAACCAACAAGCATACAATCATAAATTAGAAATGCATTAAGATGATACACATAAAATAGATGGGCTTTGTTCATATGTTTGTAAGTCGAATTAAATGCTTATGTGCATGGGTTTTTGTGTGTGGAGAATTCTTTTTGTTGGGAATTTGGTACAATGTCCCAGCAGCTCCACTAGAGGGCGAAAGAGAGCCGACTGAAATGTTAGGTCTCCATCGAAAAAGTACTTTCTGCTTCATAGACAGTGTCACATTGTAGCTTTTGGCATAAACATAGTGAGTGATTAAAACATCTTGTGTGTTTACAAACTTCAAGTGACTTTTTATCAGTAAAAGTGCTCCATCGTCCCTGCTTGCTTGCATGCAAAACACCAGCATGGATGTTTTGCATGAGCTGCACAACAAAGTGAAATAAAGGAAGCAGCCAATTGTACATTTTAGATATGGAGACAGTTGCAGTCAATTTGGTGATGAAATAAAGATAATAAAAAAGACCACATAA